TTAGGAATCTGGGGACCAGACGCAATGGCTCAGTATCCTAAAAAGTCTCTTATGTGGTAATCCTCCTATAATCTCCCTAGTAAAGCAGCAAATTATCTCTTCATAAGCATTTGTTTCTGATTTAATAAGTCACTAAATTATTAAGAAGAATCAGATCCTATTTTGTTTAACTTTGACGTTAACCTTGATAAAGTTATTTGGTGCTTAGTGTGCCTCTAGAAGATGTAATTCTTTTTTTTTTTTTTTACAAAAACTACCTCTCCTTTTTACAAATCAACGTATTATTATTTTTTAATGGTTAACCTAAAGTCCATCTGTTTTATAAAACCTATGCCAAATAACCCCATTAATAATGTTTTATTTTCAGTTTCTTATATAGTTACAATTAATGTTATACAATTATATATTTGACTTATATTGCCTTGTGGATTAAGTTTTTGTCAAGTTAATTGCAATTTTTTAATTTTTTATTTTTTTTAATTATTTTTTTTGCTATAGGGCGCATGTGCTCACCAGACAGAGAGAGACAGAGAGACAGAAAGTGAGAAATCACCCCTTGGGGGGATGGCCATGCCGCAATCCCCTCTCCACCATTCTCCTCTTGGGATCTTGGGCATGCATGCACACGCGCCCGGCGTGAGTTTAAGCCACCAAGGCCGGGACTCGAACCGTGGTCGACTACGTGGGAGTCCAGCAACATAGCCATTATGCTAAATGCTAGTCCCTAACTGCAAGTTTTTAAATGCAGTGTCCCTATATTATTCTTCTTTTACATTTTTTTCCTTTTTCTCTTAGTCCACTGGACATTAAGAGTAGATGCCTGGTAAATTATTTTTGACTTCAAATCAATTCTAAGTATTTTAAAATGAATATAACCCATTTCCCTTCTAATACTACTACCACAAACCCTTTAACAGTTCAGAAAAATAAGACAGGAAGTAATTGCTTATGAAGGGCCACACAAGGAGTTAGACTTGAAACTAAAATCAGGCCTTAGAGTTTCAAAGTCAAAATCCTAAACTCAAAACAACAGGACACATAGCCTCTGTCTATCTAATTAGATTAATAAATCATTCTGAAAAGCAAAGAGTCTCTTGTCCTGAAGGAAAGTTAGTGACTGTATATTCTTTGCAGAGAGTAAAGACTATGGATCTCATTAAAACGCCCCCATCCTCAGCATGCTGAAGGTACCAGCAGTATAAACATTCTTGAAGGGGAACATGCACCCTGGGTCTGGGAGAGGAATCCTGTCTGGTCTGTCTTAAATGGACAGCTCTACTTCTCTGTCGTGGCTGGTTGTTTTGTTGTGTGTGGACAGCTGAGAGTCATTTCCTCATCTTTATTCCAAACTACGCTGGACACTCCCTCTTCATTTTCGAAAAATAATCTGTGAGAGAAGGGAACTAGCATGTTTACCCAGTGGGCTTGAAGCCAGTCAAAGGCTGTCTACATTTTTTGGTCCTTCCCTGGCTCTAAGATGGCCAGATATGAAAAGTTGCCAATCGGGATGCCAGAACTTCAAAGGGACCTATCAGGAGTGCACACAAAGGCTCGTTTGTTCAGCACTTATGCAAAGATGCCAGTGGCTTCAGGCAGGCAGTGAATGGAGGTTTGTCTTCACTTGACTTCTCGTAGGCACCATCTGGCTGATGGGGAAGCCTTTCTTTTCATCCTGTGGCTTGACTGAAGTAAGAGTGACTGTGAATACAAGTGCATTTCAGCCTTCGCTTTCCTTCAGTGTTTAAGGGACAAATAAGGTCATCTCTGTTTCTGAGATGAATTAAATGATAGGTTATTTTAAAAATAATTCTTTTGCAATGAATAACCCTGACTACTGGACGATAGATTTTAGAGATCAACATGGCAGGGAAGTAGCAAAGTGAAGTGGTTGATTTTTTATGTATCATTATGATATTTTATATGTGTCCTTCCCAAACAGAAATCTTCCTTCAAATATTTCACATAAAGTATACAATTCTAGTTAAGCTACCTGACACTCTACTCTTGGTATTCATTGATTTAGCAAAAACTTACTCCTAAATGTTTATGTTCCTGAGAAAATCATGTTACATTATTAGAAGTGATTTGAATATGTCTCAGTTTTGTTTCTGAGCACAGAGTTTGAGGACAAGTGTGGTGGGTTCAGAGAGGACAAGGACATTTGTGGATGATAAGGAAAATCTATCTGAAAGCAGAAAAAGTATTGGATTTGAAGACTTCTTTTTTTTTTAAAGTATATTTTATTTAACTTTATTTATTTTATTTATTTATAGGGACAGAGTGAGAGAGAAAAAGAGAAAGAGAGAGAGAGAGAAAGCAAGTCACCAGGTCCAGGACTCGAACTACAGTTGACCATGAGGGAGTTCAGTGCCCTTAACCCCCACACCACTTGCTGGCCCTGGATTTGAAGACTTCTAATCAGGGCCAGATTCAGTGAAGATCCCAGAGTGCGTGTGTGTGTGTGTGTGTGTGTGTGTGTGATTTTACTGTGCTAAGAACACTTAACATGAGATTTAGTCTATCAAAACAATTTTAAGTGTATAATATGGTATTAGTCCCTATAGGCACAATGCTGTATAGCTGATCTCTAGAATTTATTCACCTCTCATAACTGAAATGATGCAACTTCTCATTTCTCAACCCCCAGCATCACCATTCTACTCTGTGCTTCTAGGAGTTTGGCTACCCTAGATACCTCATGTAAGTGGGATCATGTAAATGGGATCATACAGCATGTATCCTTTTTTGGCTGGTTTAGTTTACTTGGCCTAATGTCCAAGGCATTGTATTTAAGGAAGAACTCATCTCAGTCTCACACAGGTCTAGGTCTCCTGCCCAGGACTAGGTGCTTCCTTAAATTTCGGACCTTAGAAGCTACTCTTGTCTCATCCTTGCCCTAGTCCCAGGATACTTCTAAGACAGCTGTTTTCCACAACTTTCACCAAGTTCTGACTCCACAGGAGCAGCTGTAGGTGGAGAAATAAACACTGGATGAGAACGAGAAAAAGTGACTCCATAAATTGTGTAATTTTGGGTGACACTGACTATCTTCCTGAGCATCATTTTTTACCCTGTGCTAAGCTCTGTCCAACTGGTTTTTATTTACTGTCTATTGTATCTGTCAAGGTCTATGAGTGGTCTGAGATTTTTCCCTAGTGATATTTCCTAAGCTAAGAAGTTGGCCCACCACTGTTGCATAATGCTGAGGAGAGATACGTAAGTCCTAGTCAGAAGCAGGAGGCTTCATTATTCACAGCGATGGCAGTACATAGGGTATCAGTGTTTGTATTGGCATCATGATCTCCAGTTCCTATAGGGTGATGTAAAGAGGGCCAGATGATAGAAACAGTGGGCAGTATTATAGGAGATGAATCCTGAAGTTAAGGAGCTGGTATACTTTGTAATAGGCGAACAAGAATGCCTGCTTGATCTAGAGAGAGATACTCTCTTCAGTATACTAGACAGTAAGCATGCTCACTCTTCATTCTAGAGGAATCCCTAGCATAGTTGTCCTCATAATTTTATTTTTTTAATTGCCAGAGTGTATGCTTGCCATAGAGAGACAGAGAAATAGAGAGAGAAAGGAAGAAATAATCTTGACAATGGATTTAAAAAGGTTTTGCCTGTTTTCTTTTTCTTTTTTCTTTTTTTTAAATTCTGATATGAACTATGCCACTATATATATGCTTTGACCATTCCTCTGATTCTAAAGTCTTACGTTCATATGGCTGGAGTACCTTGCTTTACGGATCTGTAAGGTAATTGCTATGTCGAGGATCTGCTACAAGTACAGTAGTAGGCTGAGTTATTTGTACCATATGGCTCCACCTATTATAACACAACCGATTGGACCAAAGAAGGAAAACTAACCAATGTAGTCAACACATAAGATAATTATTGACCTATGAGTGACACGTTCTGGTATGAAAAAAGTTTCTGGGTCAATAAGCATCTTTCTGTCAGCAATTTTGTTAAAGACCTATTTACTTAATTTTGTTTTTCATTGTTATTATTTGTTAAGTTGCTATAGCACACATGTGCCCACCAGAGAGAGACAGAGACAGAGAGAGAGAGAATAAGAGGGAAAGTGAGAAAGCAAGCTGCCAGGTCCAGGACTTGAACCGTAGTCAGGCATGTGAGAATCCAGTACCTTAACCACCATGCCACGCACTGGCCCCTCTGTCAGCAATTTGAACTGGGAAAACAAGATAGGTATCAGTTAGCAGTGGAAGCTAGAGCTAAAGTCAGCAGAAATGGTCAGACTGTGACGGCCATATGTAAACTATAGGAGGACAGCAGAAACCATGAATGAGTAAAAGTGTAGGTGAGTAAAGGACAGAGAGGATTAGGACGCTGCTGAAAACAGTACAAGAAGTGAGGAAACACATGAAGAAGAAGAAATGGAGAGAACATCTGAGAGTTTCACCAGTGGCAGAGAGACTTGAACTTGGGTTGAGGTTCCATAGCTGTTGTACGACCAGTTCTCATTTTTTTATATGGCAGGTTAAGATTGAGTTCTCAGGTTTCCTGTGACCTTTCTTTCTTACCTCCCACCAGGCTATCCTTATAATAAAGTATTACCCAAGTCTCTTTCTTCTATCTGGAAGACTCCACTTAAAACAGTTGGGGTCTAAATAAATAAGTAGTTACATAGTTCACTGAGCAAACAATAATGCTTTTTCTATTACTAGGAACAAGTATCTAATGTAAAATTATTTAAATTCTATTTAATTTTGAAAAGAGTCAATTTGAGGTCATTTATATATTAGAGCCAGTGTTGTGGAAGACAGTTAAAATCACATTAGATGGGAGAGGAGTTAAAATAACATTACATGAAAGATTTATAGCAAGAACCTAAAAAAGAGGAAAATTTAATAGTGAAAATAAAAGTCTTTATTGAACACCTAGGCTCTGCATCATTATATCATTATTATCACTGTCATGACACTTACAGTAGCCTTATCAGGTGGATCTTCTTACTCTCACTTTACAGATAAGAACATTGAGGCTGAGGGAATTGAATAGCAGAGCCAGGGGTTCCAACTAGGTTGTTTGACCCGAAACCTACATCCTGAATTCTATGCTGCAGTGACTTTATTTACTTGGAACTTTCCAGCTATGTTCCCAACTGGTAAGTAGCTTGAGGCAGTGGCAAAGGGCAAGTGGACAGCATCTACAGAGCTGCTATTGGTGGAGCCAGCAGCCCAAGAACCAGATCACAGGGGACCCTAGAAGAAACCCTGGATCTAGACCTTAGAGGTCATTTGAAGGTATTCTTAGGAAATGCTGTAGGAGAGAGAGAGAGATGGAAATTATTGAGGGAATTCTCATTCCACACTCCCTTAGTATCCAGAACTTAAGGCATTGTTGTTGTTCTTGTTTTTAAGAATGATTTTATTTAACTTTTATTTATTTATTTATTTAATTTGACCAGAGAGGGACAGAGTGAGAGAGAGAGAGCGCATAAGCCTTCAGGTCCGGGACTCAAACCATGGTCAATCATGTGGGAGTCCAGCTCCCTTAACCACCATGCCACCTGTTGGCCCTGACCTGAAACCATTGTTAATACAGGAGGCAGTCATGCATTGGTAACAGACATGGGCTCTGGATCCAGGCATGCCACTTACTGTGAATGGGACTCAAGGTAAGATACTTGAGCTGTTTGCTTCAGTTTCTTCATCAATAAAAGGAGACTTTATTCAGAAATGATTTTATTTATGTTTCATAAGGCTGTTATGAGGATTAAATTATTTGATATCAATAAGGCCCTTGAAAGGATAAGTGGCAGATGGGAAGAGTTCAATAAATGTGGGTTGTCATGCGACAGTTCTTTTCCTTTCACTATCTCCCTCTGCCAGGTCCTGTCAAGCCACAAGTGGGTGCCGAGGAGCAGTGAGCCTCGTCTTTGTTCTCAGACTCAGATCATTGGTACTACTGATCAAACCAAACGCATCTCATCCTGACTCAAATTCCTTACCACATATTTCAGTAACAACAGCAACTAATAGCTCCTAAATGTTTAGATAAATGCCAACCACATTCCTCAACTCTTCACATAAATCATAATCTTCATCACAATCTGATAAGGTAGGTGCCATGGGCCTCCTCACTTCACAAATCAGAAAAAATGAAAACAGTTGTAAAGTTATAGATTTCTTTTTTTTTAAAGATATTTGTTCGGCTAGACCATGTCTGAACATCTGTGAAACCTCCCAGAGGAGCACAATCTCTCTTTTTTTTCTTTTTTAATTTAACAAATTAAAACAGAATGAAAAGCCAAATGGAGTCTGTGCATTGATACACAAGACTCGATTAGCACGAAAACATGGGTGTTTACTGAACATACAGTGACTGGGTTAAGACGAATCGTTTCCTTCCCTCTCAAACTGCCTCATTTAGACCTCCATTTGACTACTCAGCCACGGAAGTCAACTCTGCTTGAGAAGGAGAGGGATTCCTAGAAGTGAATGTGACCACATGAGGCAATGCAAATGCGTCAAGTATTTCCTCTTATTTCCACCCTACTAGAGATGAAGTAGACCTGCTCATGTGTTTATAGCATACCTCTTTTTGTAGTTGAGGACCATTACTGCTTCATTCTAAGATGCTGTGTTTCTACAATACTGCTGCTTAATAAATGACCCTGAAATTCAGTGGCTTAAAACAATGAACATTGATTTACTTTTAGTTTGTGGGGTATTAATTAGGGCTGGGGTTGACTGTGCTCTCTCACATTTCTGGAGATTGGCTGGCTGTCAATAGATCAAAGCTGGCTGGGAAAACTTGGTTCTGTTCCACGTACCTCTGCTCCTCCAGTGGGCTACCCCAAGCTATGTCAGAAGTGCAAGATCGAGGGCAAGACCAATCATGCAAACATTTTTTTGATGACTCTGCTTTTTTAACATCAGCTTACATTTTATTGGTCAAAGTCAGTCACATGGCCAATCTGTAATCAAGAGGTTAGGAAATGGATTAGATTCTAACACTTCAGTGTGACAAACTCCCTGGACAGAGGAAAGGGTGATGAATTATCAGTAGAATAAATCATCGCTGAAATCGCCACACGTGTCTTTTTCTTAAGGGAAAATAAACACTCAAAACCAATATTTTGAAAATTTTGTTTTTATTTAAGTTAAAATGATATATATGCGAAAAGAGTCAAATGTTTTAATAAGACCTTTAGTCTTACTAAATTAATCATTAGTCCTCTTATTAATTGTTAGTCCCCTAACGATTCCAGCTCTTTAGCTATTTCTTTTGCCATTAGTCTCTGTATTTGTTAAAATGCTGGCACTGTTACTTCTTTTTTCTCTTTCTTTTTCTTTTTTTTCCCCAGAGGGTGCCTGTGTGCATACGAGAGAGAGAATATAACCCTGGTGGACCCAGCCCCCTATGTATAGGGCTTAACCGCTGCTCTACAGGGCTGGCCCTGTGCTGCTACTTCTTGACTTTAGTTCCAGGCACAGACAATTGACAAGAAAGATAAAGATTTATCACTCTTTTACTGCCTTCTACATCTCTCCAGATGCATGCACACTTCTTCCCTTTCTACCTTTTCTGTCTTGTTTTGTGATTTCATTTAATTTTTTAACATTTGGATTATTGAGATTTTGCAGACCCTATGTATAGTTGACCCTCATTGTTGAACTATGACTATTTTCCCATCGTTGTACAACTTTTTATTGTCCCTGAAGTGAATGACAATTTTATTTTTCTTTGCCTCTCTATTATCATGAATTCAAATTCAGTTTGTTTTTAATTTTGTAAACAGTCTTTCAACATGTTCAAACACACTGGGTATAAAACCCAAAGTCTTCAAAAATTTCTTTTGTTTTGTTTTCTTATTTACTCTCTTATACTCTGTTTTGGAAAAAAAAAATTTTTTTTTCTTGGAGAGGTTTTTGCTATAGGGTGCGTGTGCTCGCCAGAAGGACAGAGAGAGACAGAGAGATAGAAAGAGAGAAATCACCCCCTGGGGGGATGGCCATGCCACAATCCATTATCCTTCATTCTCCTCTCAGGATCTTGGGCGCGCATGCACACGCACCCGGGACTTGAACTGCAGTCGACTACATGGGAGTCCAATGACATAGTTATTATGCCAACTGCTGGTCCCATCTGTTTTGGAAATTTTAAATGGCATCATTTGACTTCTTATTGTAATTACATAGCAATCAGTGATTATGCTCCTTCTTCCTTTCTCTTTCTACTTTCCTCATATATTTTATAGCAGATATATTCCTTCAACTGTCAGAACATACATTTATGTACTATCCTTTCACCTTTACCCCCATCCATAGCTTAGTCATAGACCTCTAGTTAAACAAATTGAATGAGGGGCTGGTAGGTGGCGTGGTGATTAAAGGCACTGGACTCGTGCATGATTGACTATGGTTCAAGTCCTGGACCTGGTGGCTTGCTTTCTTGCTTTCTCTCTTTCTCTCTCTCTGTCTCACTCTGGTCAAATTAAAAATAACAATGATGAAGAATAAAATAAAGAAAATAATTCTGAAAAAAAAAAATCCAAAAATCAACAACAAAAATACTGAATGGTCACTACCAGTACTTTCTCCCAATCTCTTCCTGTTATTTTTTGGTTGCATGAAACTCACCCCATAGAATTTTTGTCAAAGTTTTTAAATGCAGTATTTCCTGAGTTCTTTCACTTTTAAAACTATTTTGCTATAAAGTCTTGGTATTTGAAGTTCAGCTTATGTAAAACTTTTGGCTTTCCCTTTCTTTAAGTATCTTGATCATGCTGCTCCATTGCTGTCTTCTCTGTACATTGCTCATGGGAACTCTGATTAGCCTAATTGTCTAACCCTTATACCTTATTTGTTCTTTACTGCAAGCTACCAGGTCGGGACTCTAACTCTAGTCAGCCATGTGGGAGTCCAGCGCTTTAACTACCATGTCATTTGATGGTCCCTCTTTCTGTTTTTAAAAGTCTGATATTTTGAAAGTATATATTTCATCTTTGGTAAAATTTTCCAACCAATCTATACATTGATTTTGGTTTATTGGTCTTGGGTTATAGGTTTAATTATTAGCTCTGTTCCAGTGTTTTGATATTTATCTTTAAGAATTTTAAATATATATATGTTACATATTTGTCTATATTACATTTCAACCTTTATCTTTCTCTCTCTCTCTCTCTCTCTCTCTCTCTCTTTTTTCAGAGAGTTTTGCTATAGGGTATGTGTGCTTGCCAGAGATACAGAGAGAGAGAGAAGGCGAGATACCATCCCTGGGAGGATGGCCATGCTGCAATCCCTTCTTCATTCTTCTCTTGGAGTTTTGGGCATATATGTATACATGATTTTATCACAACAAAAGGCCCCACCTGGGATGACATTAAGAGCTTAAGTTTTCACTTAACACAGTTACAATACAATACCAAACCCCAGCACACAAACTTTTGGGGAACATGCAATCACTGCCCACTAAGATCAAATTCCAAAACATGAAACTTTGATCAAACCATTATCTAAATTATAACAGGTATTTTAGTGGGTTTTTCAGTATGCTTTGGGTATTTTTATTGGGGAAACAGATGATATCATAATCATTAAGTGTTTCTTTTTTGGGGGGGAATGGTCGGATTTCTCATTCCCTAATGCTCTAACATGCAGCCATGAAATGAATAATCTGAACTACTACACCTAAAATATTGATAAATTTCACAAACACATTTATTTAAAGAAACAGGATACAATGGAAATCATACTGTGGTTTTTAAATTTTTATCCAGTTCAGAATGGCACAAGGCTAAAAATGTTATGACTGCATTTGGAAGTGGTAAAATTATTAAAAAGGGGTCTGAGTTTAGGGTTCTCTGAGAACAGAACATGAATTGAAAGCTTATGTTGGATAGTTACCATGAGAAGAGATTCTAGAAAGCAGGATAAAGGAGTTGAGAGAGTGAGAGGGAAGGAAGGCTGGGCAATTTAAGTGTTATGTTTTACAGGCCATTGATGAAAGCAACAGGTATTATCCCAGGACCTCTGAAGACTGGCCAAATGTTTTCCAGGATTATAGATCTGAAACACAGGAGGTTGAGGTATTTATCTATCGGCGGCTCCCACCTCCATGGTTAGAGAATTGCACCTGGAATATTAACTCCCTCTTCAGTACTCTATGTAGACTGAGAGATCTTGGAAAGATCTTGAGGCAGAAAGGCTAGGACATGCAAGCCTAGCACCTCAGATGCAGCCATATCAGCATAAACTGAACTCATTGGTAACTGCACTTTACTTATTCTATCATGTAGCTGTGATTACAGTCAAAGGTGGGCTGAGGACTTGTGCTACAGGGTACAAAAATATCTGCCACTAAAGGTAAGATCATGAATAACAAGAAGACTCAGTATAGCAGTTATTTCTAGTATGAAGGGAAAGACTTGTAATGAAAGAGGTGTAAATCATACATGTGGAGGTCTTTTGGAGTGCTCTTATATCTCTTACTTATGGGTAAATCAATATTGCTTTGTAAATTTTTAATTTAATATGTATTTATAACACATCCTTCTGTGTTATGCTGTGCTATAATATAACCCATTGTAGTGAAAAGAGAACTAGACTGATGATAGTGGTCTTGAAGTTCAGGCATTTAACCTCATTTCTATATTTGAGATTATGTATTTACGGACTGGAGCCATTGAAAATGTTATTCAATTAGAAGAAATTGAAAAATGTGGGACCAGCTATTAGCGTTTTGGCTATGTTGCTGGACTCCCATGTAGTCGACCACGGTTCGTTCAAGTCCTGGACCCGGCGTCTTAAACTCACGCAGAGTGCTTGTGCACGCGTGCCCAGGATCCCGAGAGGAGAATGGAGAAGATGGGATTGCGGCGTGGCCATCCCCCCTGGGGGGTGATTTCTCACTTTCTGTCTCTCTCTGTCTTTCCGGCAAGCGCATGCGCCCTATAGTGAAAAACCTCTCCAAAAAAAGAAAAAGAAAAGAAAAAGAAAAATGTGATATAAAAAATCATTTTGCTGTTATGTTCAGGATGAATTGAGAGAAAATAGATAATAGAGAAAATATTTATGAAACTATGTTGTTTAGAAGTTAGGTAAATAGTCTGAATTAGTGTGATGACAGGGTGAATGTGAAGGAAGGACTTGATATAAAAGTTGTGAAGATCAGTCTGACTTGATATAGGGAAATCAGAAATACAACTCTGAAGTTTTAAATCTCATTCTTTTCCTTAACCACATAGAGTTCATCTTGCCCTTTTTAAAAAGTGTATGTGTGTCACTAGAATATGTTGTATCTTAGATAAAGAATCTTTATAAAGTTTGCAGAAAGGGACCAGCAGATTCAGCAGATGGCTTAATGATTATATTGCCGGACTCCCATGTAGTCGACTGCAGTTCAAATCCCAGACCTGGCTGCTTAAAATTCATTCTGGCTGCATGTGCATGCTCAGCAGATGGCTTAATGATTATATTGCCGGACTCCCATGTAGTCGACTGCAGTTCAAATCCCAGACCTGGCTGCTTAAATAATTCATTCTGGCTGCATGTGCGTGCATACCTAAAATTCCAAGAGGAGAAAGGAGGAAAAGGGATTGCAGTGTAACCACCCAACCCCCGGGGG